TATTAAAACAATAAATTGAAATTAAGAAATAGAATTGATGCAAATTATTTTCTTATAAAAATTGAGAATTTTCTAGAAAAATATTAAGAAACAAGAATATCTAATGTTTTTCTTCCCAAAAGAAAAAAAAATAGTTTATAAACAATATTGTTATTGAGAAATAAAAATTATGCATAAAATGGGTATACTTCCTACTTGTTAATAAAAAATTTTTTTACAATTAACAATTTTCTAGTATTTTTTATAAATAAAAAGGAGAATAATTTGGCATTATAATTTAGATCAGTCAAACGAAATTTGTTACTGAAAAAAGCATATAACAAACAAAATGAGTATATTTTTTATTTGTTAATCATAATTTTTTTTTAAATTTTCTAATTTCCAATATTATTTTATTATAAATCTTGGAAAAATACCTGCAAATACATACTCTACTGTGAAGTTTTATTTTATATCGATGCAAAATATTCGGAAACTAAAATACGTACAAAAAAGTGACAGAAAAAACGTGTGTCGTCTCTAATAAAAAAATCACGTCACGTTGAATTTAAAAGCGAATTCAGTTATTTTTAAACCGCGCAAGTAAATGAAATTTCAAATTCTTAAGTCGTTTGCATGAAACACCTTCCATGTCAAGACAAGATTTTCTGTGTATTTTTTTCTCCTCTCCCTTCATTTCCTTTGTCAACGTCTTCTCTTCTCCTTTTTCTTTTCATCAGCAACATCTTTATGGCGGTACATTCAAATCGTACGAATCAGAGAGCACAAAGCCTCGTTATTCTACTCACTCTTTTGAGAACTTGGAATGGGGTATAAAAGTAGTGAAGAAGAAGAAGAAGAAAAAGGAGGAGGAGGAGTGGAGAAAATTGAGAACGATCTCGTCAAACTTGCTTTACCAACCTAGAAGGAAACACTCTTTTCTTCCTCTACTTCTTCAATTCTTCTTTTCCCCTACAGCAATGCAATCAATGGACACAAGAAGGAGACTTCCCTTTTCTTCTGATTAGTTTTTTTTAACAAAATTGAAAAGCAGAAAACTTCGTTTTCAACTATAAATTGTATAAGATTGTTAGGTTTAATTTCTGTTCGATTTGGAAACAAATTTTATCATCGTTATAAATCAGTTAAAAATAGATTTTTTTTCCTTTTCTCTTCACTTTTTCTTTTGGATTCGTTGAAATTTTCCGTTTTCTTCATTGTGTATATTTTAAATCACATTTTTCCTTTAAGTCGAACAAATATTATAAGTTATTAACTCTCCTTTTAAATTTGGCGCCATGATTTTTACTTTCGTCAACAGTTGCGCCACTGATTCTTTCTTTTCACTTTACAAGCTTGGTACTAAAATACTTGTGCAAATTTACAACTTTCTAACCTAAAAATATTACTGTTTCGAATTTAGAGGCTTAAATACACAAAAAACAACAAATTTTGAAATTATTCTCATCTTGAAAGCAAAATAATTGAAAAATAACCTATTTCCTCAAAAACTGCGACTTTTCTCGACTATTTTCTAAAAATGCGCGACTTTTTTCGACTTATTTTCAAAAAATTGAGACTTTTTCGACTTTTCTTCCAAATATTGCAACGAACTACCACATTTTTAGTATAAAATGCAAATTATTTCGATTTCGAGAGTAAGATTTATTTTTTATAGTGCATATTAAACTTTACTTTACTTTCGCTAAGTACAACGTGAATAAAATTGAATTTTGATTAATTTTTAGTTGGGACAATATATATATAAAGTGTCGTCGTATATTGATAAAATGACGGAAAGGTTCTTCTACAAATTTTACGGAAAATTAAGCTGCATGAATAATGATGGAGTTTCTGTATAGTAAGCATCATACGTGATCCCATTAATTCTCCAAGGCATATCAGTATTCATGAAGACGATACTGCTAATTAATATTCATCAACACAAGACATACTCCGAACATTTGATTTCATTAGTTGTTTATAATTTATATATAAATTGTCAATTATCTCCGTGAGAATTGGTTCCATCAAATCTGTCTAGACAATAGTTGTATATTTATATTTTTATAAATTATAATATTTAAATATTATATATATGTATATAAATAATTATAAGGTAAGGGGCCCCAAGGTGGCCACCCATCTTTTGAACGACTTTAATTCCTAAACGGTATTATTTAACATAATTAATAATATATCCCCTGAAACTGTATCCCCTTTCGCTAACTTTTTAGCAAAAAAGCTTTTTTATTTTACTATATGGAAAATAAAACTTAGGTGACTTTGAAAAAAACAGTCAGAAACTTTGCTTTAAAACAAAGTGGCCCCAATGTGGCAACCATTCAAAAATTCAACGGAAAAATTAAAAAAAAATATTTGCAAAAATGAATTTGAGGTAATTTTATTTGAAATGTATTGTTTTAGGCTTATAATCACAGAATCAATAGTTGCAAACTCTATTTTTTGCTTATAAGAAGCCTTTTTCAAATATTGTTAATAACAAACAAAATTTTCACTTTTTTCCTGACCCTAAGAATTTAAAAAATTTTTTAATTTTACATTTTAAATTATTGAAATTTAAAAATACTGATTCACTCTCAAAATTATTAGATAGTCAAAAAAATGTTCTATTACATTTATTAACAAATTTCTTTAATTGTAAAATTGTTCAAAAACATCAATAACTTCTTTTTTAAATAAATATTTAATCATTATTATTTTTTCGTAGAAATTAAAATTCTTCAAACATTCAAATTCAAACCTTTTTTGAAATTCAACAACTTATAAGAATATTATTAACATTATATTATATTATATAACATTATATTATATTATTAATAAACATTTGCATAAACAACAACAAAACATTTGCATATATGTATAACATATACATTATATTAATATTATTAACATTAAGAAGTTGATAACTCCGAGTCTTCGACTCGGAGTGATCGCCTTCTTCATGTTTTGTAATAATTAAAATTACCATATAACTTTTCAAAAAAAAGTTAATTATTTACAAAAATTCTAATAAAATCCTTCGTAAGAATTCAATTATTTTTACAAGTAGTAAAATTTCTCAAAAAAATTCAATTAATTAAAAAAAATTTAATAAAATTCTTCGCAAGAATTGAATTATTTTCATAAATAATTTTATATTATATGGTATTTCGTTTTTAAATCAACTTTTATTTAAAAATTCTAGAAGAATTCTATTATTTAAATTAAACAATAAATAATTTATTGAATAATTAAATTTTTCTTAAAATTGAATTCTCATAAAGAATTTTATTAAGAAATTTTTAAATAATTGAATTCGTTTGACAAATTTTAATAAAATTTTAAAGAATAATTACATTTTTTGAGGAATTCGATTAAAATTGTATCAAAAATAATTAAAATCCTAAGATGAATTTTATTATTTATGAAAATAATTTAAAAATTTCCAAAAAATGTTATTAAAATTTTTCTAAAATAATTGAATTTTGGAGAATAATTTTATTATTTATAAAGATACTTAAAATTTTGACAAGAATTTTTTTTTTTAATTTTTGAAAAAATAATTGAATTTCTGCGAAGAATTTTATTACTTTTGAAAATAATTAAATTTCGAAGAAGAATTTTATTATTTATAAATATAATTGAAATTTTGACAAGATTTTTTTTTTAATTTTTCAACATAATTGAATTTCTGCGAAGAATTTTATTACTTTTGAAAATAATTTAATTCTTGCAACGAATTTTATTTAAGTTTATAAAAATAATTGAATTTCAGAGAAGAATTTTATTATTTATAAAGATAATTGAAATTTTGACGAGATTATTTTTTAAAGATACTTGAAATTTTGATCCGGATTTTTTTTTAATTTTTGAATACAATTGAATTTTGGTGAAGAATTCTATTATTTATAAAAATAATTGAATTCTTGCGACGAATTTTTTTCAAGTTTATAAAAATAATTGAATTTCGGTGAAAAATTTCATTATTTTTATATAAATAATTGCATTCTTGCAACGAATTTTATTAAATTTTTTAAAAATAATTGAATTTTAAAGAAGAATTTTATTATTTATAAAGATAATTGAAATTTTGACGAGAATTTTTAAAAAAATTTTGAACATAATTGAAATTCTGCGAAGAATTTTTATAACTTTTGAAAATAATTGAATTTCGGGAATCATTTGTAACTTTTCCAAAATTCAATTTTTTTTGGTATTTTTAACTAAAATTCTTCTATCAATCTAGTATTTATGAAAATTATAAAAATTATTCATTAAGTAATTTATAATTAATAATTTTATGATATTTCTTGAAAAATTAAGTTATTTGAAAAGAAATTATTGTAAGTTATAGAAAAAATTGAAGGTTTTGTATTAAAATTCGTGGTAATTTTATAGTTTACGAGGCAAACAAAAAAAAAACATCGAATTTCAGAGTTTTCTCATAAATTTTAAAAATTCCGTTTTTTCCAGTACTTTTAGTAAAAATCCCTGACTTTTCCCTGATTTTCCTGACCAATTTTACTTTTTCTGACTTTTCTCTGACTTGTGATCACTTTGTAAATTATTTTATTATTTTTCAAAAAATTTTCCAAATCGATAAAATTTACATTTTCCATATAATATATTCAAATCGTAAAAAAATTCAAAAGTGATTTTACATAAAAACGCATGGTGGCCACCTTAGGGCCCAGGACGACATTTTTTTAAAGTTATCAAAAAATTGTTTAACACACAATTTTATCGATATTAATTTATAATATTATTCTATCATATGTATGTAAACAAAATAATAATAATAATAATAAGAAAGAAAATAATATAATGAAAATAAAAATACCCGAAGGAGATGAATTCCAATCGGTAATTCAGATGAAATATAAATGATATAAGAAATCGTTTAAGAGAAAATTGTCGTATAATTGGAAAGTAGAGAATATAATTTTATAAATGCGTTTACAATATTGTACATCTGGAAGGAGGGGGATTAATAATTGTGAAATGTTCCTTTGTTTTAGACTACCGTCACCCTATAACAAGCAGGCGACAGTCGTTGCTGCGGGAAGTACTCCGGGTGGTACGAGTATCCCCCTACCTGCAACTGTCGCGGCGACAAGAAGATGCCCTCCGGACAAAGTCAGGCCAGCACCATCCCCTGGCCATCAAACGCAGCTGGGTAAGTATTTTATTCTTGATCGAAATACAAACTTTCCGGAAGAGAAAAAATACCATTTACTGCCTCTCTCTCTCTCTCCTCACCCCCCTCAAAATTATATTCCCTCTGGGCCATTGTTAAAGGTGAAAATCGATTTTTCATCAGCCTTTTATTCATTATGGAAAATTTCACGCTCTAGCTTACGCAGAACAAAGAATTACATTGAGAATTAGCTTTGTTACGTTGTCCACGATTTTTAGTCTGGAGAAAAATTTCGGGGTCGAAGTCATTTTTACTTTTAATTCTTTAAACTGGGACAAAATTTGTGAAGTGGGCAACTAATTTTCAGTTGGTCAAGATTTTTTCATGAAATTTATGTTTTTCTGTTTGAAATAATAAATAAAAAATACAAGTTAAACAGTTTTGCAAAATTCGATTTTTTTGTTCTAGTTATTATTAAATAAACTTTTTTTCATGAATTTAGAAAAGTTTTTTTTTCTAATAAAGTAATAGGTAAAATTTAATGATTTTTGGTATGATTATATAAAAATAACACGGTTTTTTATTGACATTTTTCATTTTAAAATTTAACGTAATTTAATAAAATTATAAACAATTTATTTAAACAAATGAAAATAAATTTAACTTCTCGATCTGCTTGTTTATTTTTCAAAATTGAATATTGTTCCTTATTTAATGCCCAAGTATTACCAAAAAGAAAAATTCGGTATTTTACATTTGTTCAAAAGACATAAATAATTATGTTAATAACAATAAGCATTAAAAAATCTTAAAATCTTAAAAATATTTTTTTAGCTTCATTAATTAACAAAATTAATTAAAAAAACCTATTAAAATAATGTTTGAGTGTTTCTGATGTATGAAAAAAAGTATAACAATTTATTAAATTGTTTAAACAATTAATTGTTGTTATTTTTTTAAATCTGCACTTAGGGCTAGAAATTTCTACTTTTTTCACAATAATTGTGCAATTTGTCATGAGTAAAACATCTGCTAATAATAAAAAAAAAATTAATTAAACATTGTCTAAACAATTAATTGTTGTTACATTTTTCATAAATTGTACTTGGGGTTAGAAATTTCTAGTTTTTTCTGTATTGTGCATTTTCTTGTAACTACCACATTTAAGTATCAAAGAAAACCAAAAAATTAAATATTTAAACATTGTTTAAACAATTTATTCTATTAATTTTTCAATTTACTGTACTTCAAACTATAAATTCCTAGTATTTTCTTAATTGTGACATTTTTTATATAACTTAAACACTTAAGTATAATAGAAAAACTAAAAATTTATTATTTAACCATTGTTTAAACAATTTATTAACATTTATTTTATTATTTTTTTTATTTAATTTTTCAGTTGTTAGTATTTAGAAAAAACTAGATATTTCTAGCCCTAAGTAGACTTTATGAGAAAAATAACAATTAATTGTTTAAACAATGTTTAATTAATTTATTTTTTATTTTTTATCATTACCAGATGTTTTACTCTTGACAAATTGCACAATTATTGAGAAAAAAATAGAAATTTCTAGCCCTAAGTACAGATTAAAAAAAATAACAACAATTAATTGTTTAAATAATTTAATAAATTGTCATACCTTTTTCATACATCAAAAACACTCAAACATTCTTTTAATAAGTTTTTTGATTAATTTCCTTAATTAATAAAACTAAAAAAAACATTTTTAAGATTTTATGATTTTTTAATGCTTATTGTTATTAACATAATTATAATTATATCTTTTGAACAAATGTAAAATACCAATTTTTTATTTTTGGAAATACTTGGGCATTAAACAAGGAACAACATTCAATTTTGAAAAATAAACAAGCAGATCGAGAAGTTGAATTTATTTTCATTTGTTTAAATAAATTGTTTATAATTTTATCAAATTACGTTAAAGTTTAAAATAAAAAATGTCAATCAAAAACCGTGTTATTTTTATATAATCATATCAAAAATCATTAAATTTTACCTATTACTTTATTAGAAAAAAAACTTCTAAATTCATGCAAAAAAGTTTGTTTAACAATATGTACAACAAAAAATCGAATTTTGCAAAACTGTTTAACTTGTATTTTTTATTTATTAATTATTTCAAACAGAAAAGCATAAATTTCATGAAAAAATCTAGACTAACTGAAAATTAGTTACCCACTTCACGAATTTTGACCCAGTTATTAGTATTTATTTACTAACAGTATTTATTTACTAGTAGTATTTATTTACTTACTATTTATTTACTAGTAGTATTTATTTGTTTAGTATTTATTTACTAGTAGTATTTATTTTATAGTGTTTATTTACTAGACGTATTTATTTACAAGCAGTGTATGTTTGCTAGTAGTATGCGTGTTTACTAGTAGCATTTACTTATTCATCGCAGAACGAGTTTGGCACATAACAAGATTTTGCAGAACAAAGAAATTAACAAAGTCGCGTTTTTTGAAAAAAAAAAGAAAATTCTCATATAGTCTTTGAAGGAAGATTTTTATTGTCGACACTTTCTTTTCACCGCAATAAGTAAACAACCGAGGAAATTGCAAAAGTAAAAGATCTATGGACTGGCAGTGCGCGCGCGGTGGTGGCGGCGGTCCGAGTCCTTAATTATAATTTCTTTCAGACGAAATAAGAGAAAAGGGAAAAGTTGGGAAAAGTCTTTTGTGAGGTTGAAAAAGCAAAGAAAAATATGCAGAAGAGGGATCTTTGCTTTGGTAGTTGGTCAGCCACTTGGCGAAATGTTAGGAAATAAATGAGAAACGAACGTTTAATTCGAGAGTAGCGTCAGTTTGGAGGGAGAATTTTCAAGGCGTCGGGAACTTAAATCCCGAATTTAATTGAAGTCTCAAGTTGTAAGAGAGACTAAAAAAGGGAGTTTTTTTCTTTTTTTTTTACAAAACTTTGCCTTGTGTACGATAGAGATCGTTTTTATCGAAGCTCGTTAGTGAAACGAGTCGATATATCGTAAATTCATGATTCATTAGATAGACTAATATCTATTTTTTTCTTGAATTAATTTATTTGAAGACTGCATTTAAGTTTAAAAAGAAATTTTATTGGGGAAATTTACACAAAACTTCTAAAAGAAAAAAATACCTTCCTTCTTCCTTTTGTTCTAAATGGCCTCATTTTTCTTTTCAAATTTTGTGATTTTAATTGCAAAATTGATAAAGGTTTAATTTCAATTAGTTTAATAAATTCAATTAAATTAAATAAAACTTTAGTAAATTTTGTAATTCCCAATAAAAAGAACTAATTTTACAGTTGAGAATTGTTTGTATTATTTTCTAATAATTTATTATTTTATTTATTATAATTTATTTATTTACTTAATTATTATAACGATTTAAATTAGCGCGGTTTTTCCTACCAAGAAATGACGAAAGATGGTTGTCGGCAACTCTGTGATAAACATTGGGGAATCACAGAAAACTATACTAACACCACCGTTTTTATAATTTGAAACTAAATTTTAGCGCCAATTTCAAAAATTGCGCCAAATTTAAAAATAAATTTAAAAATTTAAGAAATAAACTTGAAAAAAAAGGAAAAATTAATAGTTTTTGCCAGTGAGTATTTAAATATGGTGGCAAAATTTTTAAAAAATTGTTTATGAACTTAAAAATTATTGTCAATTCGAATTTTTCGGTCTCAGTGATTACAAATCTGATAATTTCGTAAACACTTGAATCGTTTAAAGAATTTGATTATAATTTTTGAAAATAGTTTTTTGATTTCTAGTATTAGCGAATTTAAAGTAGTGGAAATTCGAAAAATAAAACAGAAATAGTAGCTTTTAGTGGCTGAAATCTAAAAAAGTACCCAAATAGTAGCATAACGTAAAAAAAGTAGTAAATAGTAGGTTTTAGTATAGATGAGTGCAAAGCCTGTAAGAATAATAATCTTTCAAGCTTTGAAAAATGAATTTTCCCTCTTATCTCTCAAAGCGTGAAAATTTGGAAAATTTAGACCCTGCTGCACGGAGAAAAAAATCAGGGCTTTTTAGCATGGAGTGGTCTGTACCTTTAGCGCATGGGCGCTTCCTTACGGCGAAAGAACGAATTTGTACGATTGCAGCAAGAGCTCGCCCTATTTTAGTAAGGAGCCTTGCTGCAATCGTACGAGTTCGTTCTTTCGCCGCAAGGAAGCGCCCATGCGCTAAAGGTACAGACCACTCCATGCTACAAAGCCCTGATTTTTTTCTCCGTGTGTAGAGATAAAATATCGAATTATATTTTGCAATGTGCTCCTTAAGTGATACAGTTATTAATATATCTTGAGATCAAATCTTCCCTGCCTTAAATTGGAAGCTCTTCTTAATGGCGTCTAATGGATTGTATCTGTAGGGAAATCCCAGCAGGACACTCCATTTTGAACATCATCAAGGAAAATATGTATCTACTTGAAGGTTCGCTTTTAGCGCGATGGTCCCCCGAGGCTCAATGCATTTTCATAATGTTACTTATTTATTAATGTACATAGCATCACACTCTCCCGCTCCGATATGCGTTACATAAGAAATTCACAAAAGAGAAAAAATGAAAAATAGATTGTCTCTTCATTTTCAACTTCAACACAGTGTACGTGTTATATGAAATATGTTTCAACATCCTTTCCTTTTCCTTTCTATCTTTTCTTCTAAATTTTCCTCTAAATCATAAATTTCCCAAAATGATTTTTTTTAATATTACAATTTTTACCAAATTTTTATAATTTAAAGGCGAAATTATAAACTTTTTCAAGTTGAACCAAATTATTTTTTGAAGAATTTACACCTAATTTAAAAAATCAAATGTTAGGTTTGTGACCCGGAAAACCCTCGAATTTAATTATATTTAAGCAACGTTCAATAAAGTGTTCATTATTGCCCTAGGGAAATAATGAGTTGTTTATTGACCTGTATAAGCATTTAAACAGGGTGTCTACTGAAAATATGACTTAAAATTCCAGGACATTTTCAGCACATTCCAGGACAGATTTCTTATTTTTCCAG